AACCCACCAGCCACTCCTCGGAAGGAAGGTTGGGCAATCCTACTTCCGTAGTGATACTGCCTCGGAAACCCAAGGAGGGGTCGCTATGAGTCGGGGTCGACTCGATGGCACATAACAACAACAACAACAACAACAGCGTCCTTTGCATGAAGTGAGCTCTGGCTCCTCCCACCCAAGGCAAAATGCTAGAATGATGGCTTGTTGACATGTTCCTTCAAAGGAACTTCCTGGAAATGACATGAATAAAATACATAATCAGCGCATGCGTTCAAGTGCACAGGAAAACAGACCAAAACACTTTCCAGTCCTGCACCAGGTGGGGATTTCTCTCCAGTTTACTCACAATCCCAGAATAATGATTAAGAGCTGGTCACCAGTCCAGGGTCAGTCTCTCCAGGCTGAGACTCATCTTGGGAGTGTCTGGCCCTGAGCATGCCTCCCAGAGCCTCATCTAGCCCCCAACAACAACAACAACAGTCCACTATGGGAATCATCCCATTTCCAAGACAACCCCTACTCTAATGCATGTTATCTTGTTGTGGACGGACCATAAAAGAGATTCCAGAATGTTGTTGTTGTTATGTACCATCGAGTCAGACCCGACTCATAGGGACCCCTTTTAGGTTTCCAAGTTGGTATCACTGCGGAAGTAGATTGCCCAACCTTCCTTCCGAGGAGTGGCTGGTGGGCTTGAACCGCCAGCCTTCTGGTTAGCAGTCAAGTATTATTTCTTATTAAAAACACCAAAATTTTAACACAGGAAAGCAGCAATAAACAAGTGATCCATGACATTCATAAACTTCAATTATGAATCAATCTTCACTACAAGAAATACAAATTTTAAACAAGAAAACAAACCAAACTCACTGCTATTCAGTTGATTCCAACTCACAGTGACTCCTACTGGGTTTCCAAGGCTGTAAATCTTTAGAAAGGAGATCACTACATCTTCCTTGTGCAGAGCAGCTGGGGGTTTGAACCATTGTCCCTCTGGTTACAAGCCAAATGCATTATCCCCTGTGCCACCAGAGCTCCTTAGAAGTTTTAAAACTCAAAAAACTCACTACCATCAGGTTGGATCCGACTCATAGCAACTCCTCCTTGGGTTTCTGAGGCAGTATCACTATGGAAGTAGACTGCCCAATCTTCCTTCTGAGGAGTGGCTGGTGG